TATTGCTATAAGTATATATTGCTTCCATATACAGTATATACTAGAATATGTAAATGATTTGCAACATAATCTCCTAAGATTTTTCCTTGAGTAGGTTTTCCAAGCTGTCTCTCATATTTATTTTATATTTTTGCTACAGTACATGAAAAACTCTTACATTAAATGTCACCTACCAATTTTTAACCCAATCCTAAATTCTCTTTTTAATGTGCTTTTCCACATTCCCACATCCCCATTTTTCGCTAATCCTTTTATTTGTACTACCACAGACACATTTGACTAGTTTAAAACCAGAATTACAATGAAATGTACAGTAAAGTACTCCTAATAAAGGTTCCTGTGGTGTTCCTAATTTGAGCATTCACCCCATTATCTGTACACTGTTTCTTTTCATTAACTAGTTTTAAGGCCAAATGCACACATTATTTTGAATTCATATCACCTGCTATTTGGAAATTAATATTTTGTGAGGAACTTTAGTAAAAAATTTTAAAATTTAAAACAGACCAGATCATATGCTCTATTTGTATCCATTAATGCTGTCGCTTGTTCGAAGAATAGTAATAAGTTTGTAAAGCGAGACTTACCTTTTCTAAATCTATGATAACTTTCCCCAATAATCTTATTTTACAGATAATCGTTTGGTTTAGTTCAGATTATCCTATCTACCGATTTACAAGTAACAGAATATGATTCCTTGGTTCCATTTTGTTGCCTTTTTCTGAATAGGTGTTACATTACCAATTTGGTCCTGAAACTGAATGGGTAGAGTGGACATGACAAGCTCCCTTCATACTGGGAGAAGAGAGTCCATATTGTTTTACAGTAGAAACATGAGGATAATGCAGTTTACATAATCAAATGAGAGGTAGCACTGGAAGACCTGAGCGTCCCCACAGTGAGAAAAGAAAACAAAACCAGAAAAAAAAAAACATATAGTACCAAGCACAAACTGGAATGGTCAGTAACTCACAAGAAGAGTTTGTCTATGGGAATAAATCATCACTACAAGACAGAGAACTGTGCAGAGATAACAATCACAATATACAGTATTTAACCTTGAACCTCAAGAAAACACTATAGACTTGAGGAAGAAATTGAAGTTAAGGATCAAGAGATTCTGAATGGCTTAAATATAGAACCTAACCAACTTTGGATACTACTAGTAGTTTAATTTGCTTCTGGGAAAACTGGTGGATGTGTATGTGAGCCTTTCGAAGAAGGCTCCATATCCGAAATTTTGTGTTTCTTTTCTTCCCTTTTTAGCATGGAATAAACCTTTACCTGTTCCTTTGCAGCCTACGCATCCTGACGCAGCGACCTACTTGAACTATGATAGGAATAATCAGAAAGGGTGATGGCAAGCACAGGGCTCTCAAAATATGCACAAGTAACCCCATTAATGCAATAAAACATTATTTCTCCAAAGATACTCAACAACTTATTCTACCATTTATCTGTTTTTTTGCTGTGTCTTTATTGGGACACAGAAAGTATAAAATACTGTTGAATGACTTTTAATGTTTGCTTTTTTATTCACTACCCCCAGAAGAAACATGCTGTCCCCTTACAAAATAAAATAAAAGACTCTGGATTGCTCCCTCCCTGTTTGTTTAAATTTACTGGGTGAAAAATAACATGCACATCTAAAGTCCACGCTCACCCAGGGAGTGGACACAATATTTTAAATGTCACACTGAGAGGTCATCGAAGGGATCAATGTGTTCTTTAGCCTTTTACTTACATTACATAACATTGCCTAAGCGGCTCATTATTGTTTCCTACTAGCAACGAGTACTGAAGCTTCTGTTATTCGTCTTCATTTCAGAACCAGATGGTGACTATCACAGGCTAACACCTAACCTTGTTATATACTGTATTCCTGCAAAAAGCAGAAGCACAAAGCAGATTCTAACCATTTGAAAAGCTCCATAACAAATGCAGATAGTAAATATTTGATTTTCCACACTCAAGCTGAATTCTCCTTAGACTTTTTAAGAGAAAATACAATCCATACATCATTTTATTTGTTATCTAGATTTGTATTGAATGTAATTTATTAAAGTAAACATTTTAAATCAATTTGTGGAATTTTGTAGTGCATCCCAATAAATATGTAAGAGTTTTTTTGTACAAAGTACTGTACCATGTAAAAAGTAATTCCTGTGCTAAACTACAGATTAAAAAATCATTACAAAGATCCCTTTAGAAATTCACACAATGATGTGACTTACCTGTATCTTATACAGTATACTTCTAATGCAGGTGGAATGGTCACTTCTAAACACCCATTCATGGTAAAAACAGAGTGGCCAGAGCTGTACTCTGGCTATAAAATGTCCTGCTAAATTGCTTTGATTCAGAGCACCATGAGGGATACACCTTGCATGTTTTTCATTTGTGTTGTCTGGAAATGGCCTTATTGTCATCAATTAAACCCTAATTTGCCCATACCTGTATCTCCTGCACCATAGAGTACTGTATGTGCCTCTCATTCACTTGATGCTGTGCCACACATCCTCCAATCAAATTGAATATAATTGTTCTGAGAAATCTGTGCCAGTGTTTTGGGGCTTATTCTGGGGGGGAGTTGACTGCTCTGACTTTCAGCCAGAGATGTTTCTATTTCCCCAGACAAGCAATTTAACACCAAAGTATTAGGTACACTATTCCTTAATGACCTCTGCACTACAGGAGGTCATTCTTGCCTTCTGCCATAAGACTGTACAACGACTGTACAACATCTACCTTGCGTCTGGGCATAGGCAACATTGACAGTGACCTGTTTCTGGACTGAACAGTAAACTGATACATCTGTTCTTTTTCTTTTTCCCGTTTACAACCATTTTTGTGCAATATATGCCAGGGACCTGTGCAATACAACTTTTTTGTGTACTGTTCTGTTCTGCTTTGTTCTTTGTGTGTTCTGGACTGTGAGTAATTCTTCTTAGTGCACTTCTCACTGTACTGTTTGTATTGTACAGAATGTATTGTGTTATTATTATTGTATAATTTGTTACACTGTGGCTGTGTTGTCTGTGTTAAGCTGCTGTTGCACTGCAATTTCCCTCACGGGATCAATAAAGTATCTATCTATCTTTGTCTGCTTGATTTGTCTTAATTGTATTATTTTGTAAAAGAGAAAATTACAATTTTTCTGATTTGTTTTGTTTTGAAGAGAAGACCGTAATTATGTGCCATTAATATTCTATCCATTACAAAATTTAGCACAGTACCTTTAAATAAAAAGCACTGACCTTGTTTAGATTGCAGTTATAACTGCATATACTGTATGCTTTTGTATGAAACTGGTTCTCTTTTATCTTTTGTCTGTTATGCTATGTTAAAGTACAACAATAACAATGTTCTGACATTAGCTGTTTAAAATCAAATCCAAAACTTATGTACATATAACAGTAACTTAACAAAAATAATGTGATGTTGTTTATTTTATACTAGTCATGGTAGAATTCCATATTTTGTTACCGAGCAGAAATTCTATCTTTAAAAAGAAGTTCATAAAGACACTATTCAATACAAAAAACATCATCATGTATCTTGGTGCATTTACACCTTGGTAATGTATGCATATGCACCAGTTTCCTATTTGATACATTACAGAATATGCAGTGTGCCTTTTTGATAATGAAGACCAATGCAAGTTTTAGTTTTTTAATTTTAGGTCAATTTAAATGTGTGTCTTTTGTAAAGACCCCTAGTTTACTGCAGTGTAGTTCAAGTACTTTTGCAAACCTGGATATGGGAGATTGACCTTATGATCCCACTTCCAGCTACCAAGCAACACAATCAGTGCTCCTTGATTGTGGTACTGTAGATTGCTTCTCAACACAGACCCATCTGCCAGTGCTCATATGGTAAATGAAAGCAGAAAGATGCATTTATAAACATTTTACCAAAGTATGCCACCTACGCTGTAAAATAATGTCAAGCCCTGTTTATTGAACACTGTGCAAAACAGAAAGTAACAATACCCCAGTGTCTAATTTTGTAAGCCATGTTTCATTCAATTATACATTTTAATTTGCAAAAATAGAACATACTGTAAACTGTAAGTAAAAGTTCCTGGTAGACAGGTCCAGTGTAAATGAGGGTTTATCAGAAAAGTAAAAAGTTCAAATTACAAATTTATCTTTAGTGTTAAATAATTGCATAAGCATATGGTCTCACAGGTACTGTATATACTTAAAAAAGAAAAAAAAGTAACATGCTGTATCACAGTGTGTGTTATTTATTATAGACTGAATGTGGGAATAGGTATATATTTCTAGTTACCTTCCTTTGAACTTTGGATTGTGATCATAAGCAAACTGCATCAGAGTATTAACATAGTTAAAATTAGAGTAGTTTATTCATTACACGTCATTGGCTTAATAGAATGTCCTTACTTATAACTTCACTATATAAGCTTTGATCAGCATTAACTCTCCATGTAGATGAAACATGCGAAATGATGAATGACTCTGTTGGTGTGTGTATCGGAGGTCTTTGTTCTCTCCTCAGCAGTAACTGAGCTGCACTCCTACTGCTGGACCACATGCTGTAAAATTGCTGATTCTGGGTGGTTATGAGAATTAAACAAAAAAAGCTGTGTTGAAAATTTACTTTTTGTAAAGTTGTGTGCAGCTAGGGAGCTTAAACATTCAGAGAAGTGGAAACATGAGATTAGAATTTGACTTCCACCCAAACATCTGGTTAATAACACCATTTGTTGTAAGCATGAACTAAATTTCAAAATATATGTCTAGCAAAAAAACATTTTAAGGTGCCAGAGAAGATATAAAGGAGAATTAGGGTACCCTTCTCTCACAGGTAACAGGAAAACAAGCAGTTAATATTTTTGACAATCAGAAACAACATTGTAACCACTACACACTAGGATCGTCTCTTTTGATTCAAGCACTGTCCAGCTTATTCAACTGCTGTGTTCACAGTCATGTTAGGGTTATTCATGTAAGACAGATAAAGAGATACTGTCTTACCTATGGTGGTTATAACTGTCCCAGCAAAAAAGAAAGAGCTGCTAAGATCCCACAGGCTGGTCTGATTGGGGGGCACTCCTGATGGATTTACTCCTTCTCTTATTGCAGATACTACCTGCTGTTGGTACAAAGAAAGAACATACGACAGAGAGTGAATATTTTTTGAAAGAATGGTGATGTATGGTGGTGTACTGGGTTTCAATCTGGGATCCATATTTGGGACTATGGATGTATTTGGTTTGACAACATTGTTTTTCACTTTGTCTCTTCTAGTTGTAAAACACAAAATATTGTACATCAAACATGCACAATTATAGGTAATGAGAAACAAAGAACATCATCGTTAACTACACAAAACAGCTAAAACAAGAAAATGATAGAAATTTGGAATATATTACAGACTGAGACTTGGACTTACACTGTACATGAAATCATAACTGACAGTGTCCGTTTTATAAACCATTCATATTTTCTTAAATTATTTTAATATTATATTGCAAGCCATGGTCTTTAAAACAGCAAATAGAACAACAAAGTCATGTCAGGAAAAGGCTTAGTTTGAGTACAGTATGATAGTTGCAGAAGTGTTAAACTGAAAAGTGTGAAACCCCTGGAACAGTTTATATCTGTAGCATTTATAGAGCATAGGCATGTGAATAAATATTTTCTAAATCACTTGCTTAAAAAGAGCACAGCACACTGTCAAGCACTAAGTAATGGAAAAAAAACTCAAATGCAAGTGAGGGTCAAAGCAACTGGCTGCACTTGCATTTCTGTATCACAGTAGTAGTTCAGCTCATTCTAATGTGCTGCAGCAGAAAATATCTTAATAATGATAGACTGTCTAGCAACGTTTTATATACTGCATGAACATGGAAAAAAGATTCTCAAGCTATCAGGAAGGAAAATGGAACACTGTAGCCTGAAATCACGAACTGATTCATTAGGGTAAAGCATTATATTTGTCAAATGTTATTTTTAATATGTCTGGTCTGACTCTCTTGGACATCTAGATGTTCAAGTAGGGAGCTGCGTCAGCCTGTAGCTGCAAAAGAACAAGTAGAGGTTCATTCTACACTGTAAAACAGAAAGAAGAAACACAGCATTTCGGCTGTTGAGGACTTAAAAAGAAATAGTCTGTCACTGAGAAAAAGGTGTGGGATCAAAGTGACCCTAGCTTATGGATAATCCTGACTCTTGGTGTTTTTCTTGAATAGGAATTCTGAAATCCTTGTAAAAAGATTTTTACAGAGAAATGTCAATGAAATCATTACCAGGAGAGGTAAAATGGGGAACTATTGGCTTAGAGAGATCTTTCATCCTCAGTGCAGTATTAGATTATCCTTAAATGTGGATCACTCCTTTTCCACTCTCTCCATGATTGACATAATTTCTTTTTAAATCCTCTCTATTTATTTACGGAATTCTAACCTCTCCTCTAGATCTTCCTTCCTTCCATCTGGAGACTTTTTCCCAACTGTAAGCCCTACTCTAATGCTTGTCCTCCTGAGCTTTATATTCCTTTCACCTTATTTCCCTTACCTTAAAACTGAAAGGGGATCAAAAGTAAAATATTGTGCTTTTTCTTTGTATTTTTCTGTGTGGAATTAATCTTCACATCTGTCACGCTTCTCCCTGGATCAATAGGTTGTTAGTAATCAAATAAGCTTGATAGAATGAAAGGTCAGGTTTCTAAGCTTCTGAAATTTTGGTTTGGACGGATGTCTTGTATATTGTTAATATGAGACAAAACATTGTTTATATGTTTTTTTATCAAGTACCTGCAGTAAGAGTATCTTGTTTGTATGAAACATTAAATACTGTTAAATACATTGGCGAGTAAAGTGATGAACACAGGGTGTGATGACAATTGCTATAATGATTAGTACAGTAAATATAGGTATTTAGGGAACAAATTGGGGAGTACTGTCAAACTATGCCAGAAAGTCATTTCTGCCGATTGTTGAGTCACTATCCAAGGTCTTACAGTTACAAGACTTGGGTAAATTAGGACCCTTCAAAATATCACCTGTGATGATTTAACTTGGAGTTAAGAGTTCAATCCACATACTGTAAATAAGTCTATACCACTGTTCTCTGTGGAAATCACAACCTTGTGAAGAAACAGTACCTGGAAAGAACACATGTTGACATGTTCCTGTTTGATAAAAAAGATTAAATGTATCTTATTTTAACAGAAATATACTAAAAATGCAACAAATGAGTATTGATGTAGCATTAGCATACAGTGTTTAGACCTCTTAGTATGTAATGATTCTAAAGATGTACCAAAAGATAAAGGTAGAACATTCTAGTATTTTTTAAATGTCAACTTAACAAAGTATATATGCCTTAAAAGCTCCAAATAGTATGATAGGAGTTATGTAATTATTACATTTAATTACTCTGCAGGTATGACAGATTTGTATTCTTTTTAAGGCAAAGCACATTGTTTTAACCAAACAATTTATATTTATGTGTGAATGCCATAAGTATCTTCCATCTCAATGTGATGGAGCCAGCTAAAATGGGAATATCTCTGCTTTTTCTATCAGTTTGTGTTCTAGACACAGTCAGTTTGTGTTCTAGACACAAGCACAAGCACTCCATTCAGTTTAATCAGACCAAACCAGAACAAAATAAGTCCCAGTGCAATGCATACAGAATGAAAAGAGTGGGGGCTGAAAGGTATCTGAGCCAGATCAGTTTAAAAAATGAACAGATGGATAATCACCCTGAGACCCAGTGAAAAGGGAAGACATTCATATAAACTCCAATGGTACATAGACAGGATTGATCTTTCAAGGCAGTTGCACACTTGCATACAGTTTTAAGATAAGGTCAGATATCACATGGCCAAACAGTTTACATTTAACTTGCAAAGATGGCTTTTTGAGATACTGCTTTGCAATGTGTTTTATGGCAAATAGCCTGTGTGTCTAAGTACATAGTATATAGCTTACAACCAATCACAGAAAACTAAATGCTTTTCTAAAGTTGACAATCTTTACATTCCAAATCTTCCACATAACTTGACCTGAATCAGTCTCCATAGTAAAGTAGTAGCTTGGCTAGATGTGCATCAAGGATTATGCTTTAATTATTCAGTTTCAGTCAGGCAAGAGTTAGTTGTGTATTGTGTGTAGACCTGTTATCAGACTAATACCCCTATGTGAGTGTTATTTTGTTAAATAAATATATTAAATAACAAAAAAACTCCTAGGTTCTCTTAAGTTTCACAGTTTCAGTTCTTGTGTCTTGCGCAACAGGATAACAAAAGAAATGAGAAAATATTAGACATACAGCAGGAGCAGGAGAAAGAGTTGGTTGAGTGGGGAAGGGAGTGAGTAAACTTAATTTACTTTCTTATCTGTTATTACTTTGCTGTAATAAACTTTATTACTGTACAGTATTGCTGTATTTATTATAGAAATTAAATAGATATAAAAAGTAAAGAAAATGCACTCTTCTAAGAAAAAAATCTAATACAGGATAAACTACTTCAAGCCACACAACCACACCATATTTTCTGCATTTGGGAATTTACCATCTGCAGAGATTTCAAGGGACCTGATCCTTACAAATACAGAGGTTTTACTGTACAGTATATACAGTATTACTGTATAACTCCTGACTGTGTCCAAGATGTCTAAGACTTTTGTAGATCAGTATATAATGTTAGATTTTCTTTCCCATTCCATTTACTGCACATCTATTTTTTAAGTGTATTATGTCAACCTTGTTTTAAAAATTAAAACTTGTATTTTGTTGTATGTGTTATATTTTGTTGCTGAAGTACAGTGAATTGCCCTGGATGATGAGTGTAATAACAATAATCTCCACTTTTTTTCCTTTAAGTGTTAAATACGACTACGTGATTAATGGAAACTGTGTTATTCACAGTTTCCATTAATTCACTATTACAATCACTATTACAATCAATTTTTCATTACTATCATTAAGTAATGTGAAAGATTTTATCATATTTTGAATAAAAAAGCAGTCCAGAGATAAGAGCCACACTAGAACCTTGCAATGCAATTTAAAATTATTACCCTCACTGAATAAAAGTATATGGGTTAAGAGAAGCACTCAAAAGAAAACTGTCAGGTACATCTGTGATCCACAGAGCCCAAGTTATTACTCTTCTGTCATACAAGTTTCATTACAAAAAGACATTGCATTTTGCAAATTGTAATACGTTTTAGCTGACAATGATAAAAGAAAGATAGATCAGTTAAGGGTGTAACGGTAATAACCGCTACCTAGGATGACTACAGTAAGCAATCTTCCTGTCTCCTTATTCTGTAACTTCAAATCCTAAGCAGTGAGACACTTCAACCTAATCTAAAATCCACCTTAATACTGTGAAAGGAACATCATTAGACTTAAAAATGAAAAGGTGGAGTCTTTGCATACAAACAGATAAAGGACTTAAATTAGCAAATGGGGAAAGAGAATATAATGCAATGTACTGTATGGTGAGGTTCAGAAAAGGAGGGCCTGTAACTTTTTCACTGAGATCCAACTCCTTGTAAAAGTCCCCCCACACTAAAAACATTAGCTTCTAATTTCCAGTTTAATATGTTTAATAATGTTGTTATTGCATTTCTGGTGTTTACATAGTATTAGGAATTAATAGAAAATGAGACTGTGTAATCAACTAATAATGATTAGAAACACCTCAAATATAACTTACAGTATATCCAGTGACTAGAAAGCAGAATGAAATTAGTTATGCTCTTGAGGTTATGCCTGCTACTCAGATTATAATATGTGAATGCAAATTCACTTGTTCTTGCTTTTAACTTCTTAGTTAAACTGTGTCATTATCCACGTTATTGAATGTGCCATGAAATACTGTGCCCAAAGAGCATTTAAAAAGGATGTTTAGACAATCCCCTCAGGCTGTATTTGTGCAACCAACACTGTTATCCTTCTAGCCAATTCCTTGGATTGCTCAGTAATTCATGTTAGGTATTCTTGAAATGAGTGCAAGACAGCATAACGCACATGGGAGACACCATCTTAATGCAGTCCTAAAAACAGACTTCATGTTTTTTCCCTAGCGGGGTAGTTAAAGAACTGCCCAGGGCTGATAAAGCAAGCTGAGGCTTCCCTTGATTTGAACAGGCGTTAAGTGTATTATTATTTTACTGATAACCCGTGTAGAAAACACGATATCTCAAAATGAGCAGAATACAGCAGGGCTGCTACTGTATATAGCTTGAGTTAGATGCTGTCACTACAGTACATTGCATCATTTTCCTTTTCCTAGCAGCAGCCATTTAGCCAGCAGCCATGTCACCCTGCAACTCACTGAACCCTGCAACTAGCTACCCACTGAAGCTAAGCAGGTGTGAGCCTGGCTGGTACCTGGTTGGGAGACCTTCTGGGAAAGCTTGCTGCTGGAAGAGATGTTAAGTGAGCCATTAGGAGGCACTCACCAGATTGTGTGCATCCTAATGCCCCATTATAGTGACATGGACACAATACTGTAAACAGGCGCCGTCCTTTGGATGAGATGTGAAACTGAGGTCATGACTCTCTGTGGTCATTAAAATTCCCAGGGTGTTTCTCGAAAAGAGTAGGGGTGTAACCCCGGCATCCTGGCCAAATTTCCCATTGGCCTTCACCAATCATGGCCTCCTAATAATCCATTGGCTTCATTACTCTGCTCTCCTCCCTACTGATAGCTGATGTGTGGTGAGCGTTCTGATGCACTATGGCTGCTGTCGCATCATCCAGGTGGATGCTGCACATTGGTGGAGGTGGAGGGGATCCATCAATTTCCCTTTGGGATCAATAAAATCTTATCTATCTATCCCCATTACTTGTAAGGGCTTTGAGTGGAATGTCCTGAAAAGCTCTATACTGTATAAGTGTAAGGAATTATTATTACCTATCATGTACAGAAGCTTCCTATAGACCTGCTGCTGTTATCTAACCAGGGATATGCTTGCATCAACAGATAAATAACCAGCACTGAAATAACAGAAGCATAAGCAATAGACAGCACTGATGCATGTCTGTACATTAATGCTGCACATAACATAGTCCTCCAGTACATTCATTGTGTGCTCTGTCACTTCTATCTAGTTCATTTGCGTCAAGACCTTTGCCTAAAGCTCTTGTTCAATGAATCTGAATCTCATTCTATGAAACAACCCCATATAAGAAAGAAGGCAGTGTTAGTGTGCCAATTTGCTTTGTATCAGCAAAACATAAAATAGATAGTAAACTAAGATACAATGCATCACAATCTTTTAATATAATTACATACTGTTTTTTGTAAAATTAGCCTTAAGGCCACTAACAATAACTACCCAAAATGAGCAAGTAATACATTTTGTGTATCTTCTAGTACTTCGTTAATCATCTAGAATTGACGGTGCATAATTAGAAACTCCCACCAAGATAAAAAAATAAGAATCTCACTTACGAATGATGCAATCTTTTTCTAACCACTTTATCCCATACAGGGTTGCGGGGGAGCCTGTAATTATCAGTAGCATGCAATGAGCACAAGGCTGGATGCACCCTGGACAGGACACCAGTACATCACAGGGCACACACAGACACAGACACACTCACACTAGGGCCAGTTTTTCCCAGAATACAATTAACCATCCAGTATGTCTTTGGACAGCAGGATGACACCAGAGCACCTGAAGAAACCCATGCAAACACAGCGAGAATGGACAAACTGCATGCACATTGCACCCCAGGAACTGAACCCAGGGCACCAGTGCTGGGAGGCACCCATGCTTACACTACCCCTTCACCACTGCACCCAACCCCCCCCACAAGCTGCAAAATCCTCAAATTATTTTGATTATAAATACAGTATTAGACTTGAGAAAGTATCTTACAGTATATGTATCTTATGAAGATATAACTAAACACTGGGCTCCTAACTGCTCTGAACATTCCTAGTAACATCTTGAGTACTCTATCAATATCATCTTAACTGCTATGATTATTATATGATTTTACTATTATGATATACTATATAAATGTATGAAATTACGTAAAAAAATAACTTCATTGGTTGTACAAGCTGTAAAAAACATTATATATTTAGTATTCGATATTTCTAGATAGTATATAAAGAATTTTGACAAAGCTTTATGAAGCTTGATGAAGTCAAGCTAAAGTGATGTTTTCTCCATTGTGATTCCTTTAGTCTGTCTCACCTACAGTTTGTACAAGATTTCTCTTTTCATGCATGTAAATGGCTTCAGGCACCATTTAGTTTAAACATTGTTTAATTGCCTGGAAGAAGAATTCCTTAAAGCCACATTGTCAGCTGTAAAAATGTAAGGTGAACCAGACTCAAGTTCTGGATGTTTAAAACAGATTTTTTTTCGTAATTATAAAAATCATGCCAAGGAGGAAGTTGTAAAGATCTAATATGAAACTCTTGAAATCTGAAATACAGCACCGAACATTACAAACATTTTTAATTTCACATAATTGATTACAAATACCCTGTATTTTTATATAAACAATGGTTGTACTACACTCACTGACCAAAACAGTAGGAAACCCATCCCATAACATACAGGATATTTGGAAGCAGCAAAAGCTTTGGTACTGTATGACATTACATTGTCATGTTGTCTACTATATTATGAAGATTATACATTAAGTTTTGTACCAGGATTCGTTTTTCAGGATTGCCTTCAGGTGAGACTATGATTAGCGTACAGATAAATCGAAATTCATAATCACATTCCACATGTTTTACCAAATTTTAGGTGACATACTGTAGGCTTGAAATCATGTGACTGTAACTCCTAGAGAAGGGGAATTCTGTCTCATGCTCCACGGATCTAATAATGTGGCTGTATTTTCCTAACGCTTTTCGTATTCATGTGAGCAATAAAGTTCTTAATTGTGAGGCACTCTGATGAAATAGCTACAATACCAAAAAGCTTTGGACGCCTTGGCCTGTATGTCATTGACAGAGATGAAAAGTGAATAAGACTTAATACTATATGTCTGATTTATCTGCACTAATTTGGCAATCAAGTCTGATAGATGTTAATATAGTAAAATCTTGCTCTTAATACTTCTTTCAAACTAAACATTTCTGTCATTTTCAAACACCAGCAAAATCTTGGTTTTGGATTAACAGAGAACAACATTAATTTATTTTTTGGTTTTAGAAATATGTTGTATTTCATCCTGAAAAAATGATCATTCAGTAAAATGAATCTATTCATCAATGTGTTAACCAGTTAACATATAGCTACAGAGCAAGTCAAATAAAAAAAAACAAACGATGTTTTGTCTATAATAAAACTCATCTACAAAAGGATTATGAAAATAAGTTTCCTCCAAATCATGGGAGGGTACTTGTTTCTTAATTTCTGCTAATTTTCTATATTCAAAAACTGACAAAAAAAAATACATGTACTTTAAGAAGAAAAGTTGTGTGACATTGTTGTTACATAATCACCTTGGTAGCTACAGTGTTTGAGTTACTCCCAAGATAAAAACAGTTTTATCTAAAAAGGGAACATACGTACATACATTACATGACAAAAATGTCAGGAATTGTATGACCAATTACATGTAAAGGAACCCTCACAATGATGGAATCCATCATCTTAATGTCCACTTATAATTTCTATTAAACACATTAGTAGGATCCGTGTTCCTTCTGGAAAGCCACAAGATTAATGGAACAAAGCCAAAATGAGAACCTGTCTAGTGCAATGGCCTCTGCCAAAGATGAAATGGTTCATTACCTTAATGAGTTCCTCCAGCTCTGAGGAGTTGACACAAGAGTGCTTGGACAGAAACTCCAGCTTCTCGGCCAGAATGATGCTTTTTTGGGAACTCTCATGAGGCTGCTCCAGGGCTTTAAATACTGTAGCACCAATGATCAAATACAGCACAACAAGCAGGAAAATGGCAGTGACTGTTTTCCACTTCATGACTGTTGCTACTGTGTCGCACTCATCCCCTGAATTTAAAACGATGGGTTTGGTAGAAAAGGAGAGGCGAGGTTTTGAGTTCTGTGTGGCTGATTTTGGATCCAGAAGATCAGGTGCTGCCACTGGAACAAAAGAGAAAATTACCATTATGTAGGCTGATCTCCTGAATAAACAAAGCAAGGCTGTATCCACATACTGTACCTGTATATCTGATGTACTGTACATATGCTGTATACTGTATATGACCTGTGTTCAAGTGACAAAATATTGTTCTTCTTTTTCACAGCTACTGTATATTGTCTCTTACTAGAGCTCCATTTACAACACTTGCAACTGCAATCAGGAGGCAGGAGTAAATTGTGCTCTGTAGCAAAAAGAAAATTAGCTTATTTAAAGTGAGGGTTAGTAACTGGTTATCCCAGCAGCCATGAATTATAGAAACAAAGGTTTTCACTCACTTTCTAAATCTTAGATGTGTTTTATTAGAATTTTGGGACTGTCTGCTTTCAGTAATATAAAGAATAGTACAGTAAACACAGTGAAGAGTGATTATGCTGCTTGAACATTTTTTTATGATCAACAAAGTAAAAAAAAACTTAATGTAAGTACCATACTATGATAAAGAATTTGACTGGTCTGTTGTTTTTAATTTAAATAACTATAGCCAACTAATTTTCTCAATCCAAAAGGCCATTAACCACTTCTAAAATCATCTTGACTGTGGACTTCAACAGACAGGAAAAAACATTAATCTGGCAGTACATTCATTACAGCAGAACACTTCTGAAACTAACAACAAAAATAACAATAACTCAGCTTGAGGGAAAAAAAATCCAATAATGCTTTTAAAACTCTAACACTTCCTTCTTAAATGCTAAAATATTTTTTCAATGTTTTGTAAAATTACACAGCAAAGTTTGCTACCATTTTTCTGTGTAATCATTAAGAATAACTGCTGTTAAATAGTTATGGCCGCTATTTATAGCCCTTTTTCTTTTTATGGAAAATGGAAAATGTTAATTTAATGGAAGCTAAAAACCTGCCATAAACCTGCCAGTGATTTTTCTCTTCATTGGTTTATATGGTTATGTATTAATTTATGTGCTTATCACAGGACACAATTTGCTAGTAATCACCTCTTGTAAGAATTGCATCAATCTCTATGATCACAGACATGGAAAAATCAATGGTGCTCAGGCCTCCCATGTGGCTCATCCAGCAGAGGCACCACCTGGCTGAGTATGGGTGGAGCTCTGGGAGTTAAATTTGAGCCTGGCCATGTTGCTGCCTGGCTGTAACCGAGATTGCACAAGTGGTGGTGCACAAGTGTTTGAGCACCGCTGACTGTAAGGTAAGATTAGTCAGCCCTTAGCTCTCCTGGCTCTCAGCAGCACAGCCTTGACTCGATTATCAGGCTCCTGGCTGCGGTTCTGACAGGGAGGGCTGCCTCTCCTCTAATCGGCACTGAATCTCCAGCACAGAGCCGTGATGCCTGTGACCCCTGTGTTAAATGACAAGTGGTTCAAAGATGGGTGAGTCAAAGGAGTCTGCCTACACTTCCTTGTTTTCTCCTGTGTGTAGTCATGGGTTTCACAGCAGTCAGCAGAGATGTGAAAAACACACAAGTGGCTGCTTCAAATTGGGTGAATTGGGTATCACACAAATAATTTGCAGATTTAAGATTAATCATTTAAATTGGTGATGCTATGAGAATTTATTTGATACCCCATCTCTGTGTTAGAGAGCAGAAGAAGCACTAAATGTTTTTGCCTGCAGTCGCTTTTTAGTTATCAATGTTTTGAACATGAATCAGTTCAAAAAATGAGTTATTAACTGGCAGGACAGATTTATAAAAAATGACTATAGATCAAAGTAAACACAAACCTTACCAAATCTAAAAAGGATGATACTTATTACAATGTAATATCCTCAATTCAATTCAATCCTCTAGAAAAAAAAAATGTTTTGCAGCAGACTCCCACACAGCAATATAACATGACAACCATCACTAACTAAGAGGTTAGGACAAACAATATTTCAGGAAATATACAGTAGTTATTTTATCTTCCTCTTCTTTAAAGAACAATCAAGTGTACCTTAGGAATAAGTAAAGGTTTATTCCATGGTGAAAAGAGAAGAAAAGAAACCCAATGCTTAATTAACTGTATTCCAAGGCACACGGTATCTTCTAAGTTTTTGTTGGGGGTTAGGGCCAGAAGAACTAGGCAGACTATAAATTAAAGACATGGTTTCCTTTCAGTTTATATGCCTATGACATTTGAACCAAAGTTTAACCAAATTCCTACTGGAACTCTCTGATCTTGTTGGGAGTTGGTGTTTTGTTATGAACAAACTTTACTGTCTAAGCCCTTTTGACTGTGGTACATAATGCTGAGACTACATATCACTACCATCTTACCCAGGCAATTGTTACATACTGTACTGTACAGTGATCTCAATTTATACAAGCTTAATTTGCTCCTTGAAAATGTCCTGTAAAGTGAAAATGCATATAAAGGAAATTAAATTCCCATTACGGCCTGTGTTTTAATTTCATTTTGATTCCACAAATGTTCTCTTAAACACCCAAACTTCACCTTAATACAGCAGAGAAGAGTATGTATGAAAGCAATTATATTCCTGGTTAACTATTGAGTAACATGCTTATAGTCACAACAGTAAACAACAGGTAGGAAAACAATAATACTTCTGCTCATTTACAGTACAATAGTTACATCAATGCAGTTGTTAGCAAATGCATAAACATTAGGTGCTATTCTGAAATATGTGCCCTTAACGCAAAGTTTAATGTGATAAGTTTATTTTTTATAATAAAATCCTTTATTACAAAAGGTTAAAATGTATCAAAACATAAAAAATGACTAAACTTGACATCTGAGGAGATGAGCGAAAATATGAAAATCTTGGCAATGCTTTAGTAGAGCTCAGTAATGTAAAAGTGAAAATCTGCCTGTTAAAAAAACAGGTAGAAATGACTACATCTAAATTACTATGTAAAATTGAAATTTGTCTGGTACATTGGAAGAGTTTAAGCTATGCTTAAAACTACAGTACAACCCTTGTAGCGTTAGGAATTCAGTTTGTGATTCTGTTTTTGTTAATGTTAACTCTACTTGATTTTAATTACATTTCACACAATTTTGTGAATTATAAACCACATTTGCCTTTCTAGGATAAGCTCATAAACGATTCTGATTCTAGTGAATTGGAAATCAAATGTATCACAAAAGAATAAAACGTACTGCTTAGACAGCATGCTGAATTTCTTATCCATAACCTTAGCAGAATTACTGTTTTAATGTCAGCTGGCTCAGGCACACTGTATACAGTATGAGCTTTGAAACTTTGCTGCAAGGAACCCTTTGCAGCAAATCTTGTAATTAAATTGGCTTGTTTGAAGTTTCTCCAGTCTCTGCATTTATTTGATGTTTCTCTTGAAGAGAAGGCTACACTGGATGCACACATACTGTTCCATATCATTGTCTGAGCAGATCAGGAAGCACAAAGAATGAATATCTTGACCTTTACGACATTCCTCTTGAATTTGTTTTGGTCAATGTGATAAAATTCACCTAAATAGGACTCCTTCTGCTTGAAATGATATATACTGATATTTAGAAACATTAATTGCAGAGGGATGTTAATACTGCCATTACTTCCCTATAACTGAAAAAAATACAAACTTTGTATGAGCCATCATCTTTTTTTGTATTTGCTCCAACACCAAGCTTCATGCTCAGGCCAGCTGGATGCCTAAATGACCCAATTGGGCATAACAAAATCAGAAGGACTTTATTAATATATTGCTTCAGATAACATTTGTTGCCTCCTCCACATTATACACTTCACTGTAGACTATCTCATCTTTCAAGTGGCAGCAATGTGGAACAATGGTGAGGGTTTTGAACTTGAAACTCAAGGTTGTGGGTTCAAATCCTATCTGAGATACTGCTATTGTATCTTTGAGCAAGGTGCTTCACCTGAATTGCTCCATTCAAACAACCAGCTGCATAAGTATTGTACAGTAAATGTAAATTGCTTTGGATAAAAGTGTCAGCTAAACAAATCAATAGTAGATTATATACTGGGGTCACATTTTACCAATATGGTTACCGAGGAACATGAAGCTGTGAGGCAGCCATGGTGACCACAACACCACCATGTTTTCTGTGTATTTGGGCCACTGTGTGTAGAGGAGAGATTTCACAAAGTCTGAGAAAGCAAGCCTTTCTCATTCTCCTGTTGTCCATAATGTTAAACCCCTTTCAAGCAAATCCCTTTTTCCTGTTTCACTAAGGACTGATAAAGGGGGGCATATACTAACAGATATTTTAAAATTGTATCGCGATTCTGAAATGCACGTTTTCTCCGGTGTTCCTGGGGTGGGGGGTGGGTAGGGGAGGGTTGTCTACACTACCTATGCATAATGAACTGAACTTCAGGGGGAAAAAAAGGGACTGGCTTCCTCTATCTGTATACAAACATACAATACAGTACAAACCCATAACAGCTGTTTGGAACAAGGGCTTGAATGTCACAAATGAAAATATTTACTAGCACAAAAGTCTTTTTGGTCCCAAAATGTAATCATGGAACAATTTACTTAATTTTTCATCACAGAGAGTAGGCCGCTCCTGTCATATGAAACCTGTCACTAGTCCTGGTGTAAACTCTGTCCAGGGAGCACTGTGGTTACCATTTTATCCATTTATGGAATGTCAATCCATAGTAGCTACAGTAGGTTCTGTCACGAGGTCTCATCTTCTTTGTCCTGTTATTCTTAGCATGACCTTTGGATCCTGCTTTTGATATTGATATAATATATATGGACGTTTACTACAGTTTAAACCCATTGCACAGTTTGAGGGGATTAAAGGGGCTGCAACTGATGCGGTCAAACCCCTGTTGCACTTCTACGTTCTAATATTGCAGTCTGATCTTTGCTTACAGGTCCTTTGGTTGAACATTTGGAGGGAGGTAATAATCGAGGGTGGGCGGTTGATGCTCCCTGTTGTACTGTTTTATTCTAATTCTGTTGTTTTGGAAAATTTAACACTAATTTTATGATTTAACAAAAACTGAATTATCATCGCTCCCAATTTATTTGAACGTGGAAAAGTACAAGATAAAACCTTAAGGCAGCGTTGTTTCATGCAACAAATTAAACGATAGATTTTACTATATATCAAATCAAGTTTGCGTTTCTCATTTGTTATTTTTTCTTTCCTATTGGATTGACTAAGATCAATTAGTTCTGCCAGACGGTTTCTTTGTCCAAACAATTTATCTGTGCAATTATTAAAGACCCATTTGGGTCCGGAACATGCTACTGATTTCCAAGGCGGGGGGCGAACAATTCAATTTTAATTGAGCTAAAATGTTTTTTTATTTAGCCTTTAATTTTACAAGGAAGGAAAACGAAAGCACATTTCTCTATTTCTTTAATTTAAAAAAAAACATCATTCCAAATAAAGAAAATCACGATTTAGGAAAGCTTTCGATTCTGTTATTCAATACTGCAAATGTATGCTTAATTCAAAAAGTTGAAATTGAAAAACGTACTGTATTTGCAATCAATAAATTCGGTGACTTCAAAGGCTACACTTCCTGACACCGAAGTCACCACATTTACACTCGCATTCCTGTTGTACAAAATAATTTACCATTATTCTACAATGATTTAGAAATAAGTACTTATAATCGGCAGCTGTTCTATACCTGCGCAATGAAACGCAATTCTCGCAACCCAAACCAATACAGTATATACAGTACTTGAAGCTAAACCAGACATTCTCACTAGTTTCAGAATACTGACATCAGAGAATTCAAATGAAGAACGTCAGTTTCATCAATGACAATCAAACAAAACTAAAGAAACATTTTTTTCCATTTAAACTAATTTTATTTTTTATAGAAGTTACGTTTCTACTGATTTAAAATGCTAGATACCGACATACTGTATGAAACACAAAGATACAGGAAAGCACTTCATAAACACTCGGTCCTACTCCATTTGATTAACAGGTTGCTTAAATAGCTTCTCACTTTTCATCCCGTCTAAAATCACAAAAACATTTTCGAATCCATCAAAATTAAAAATCGATCCTCACACCATAAACGTGACAAGCAAAAAACATTACAAAAATTAAGGCATCCAAACACGACACTCAGAACAGCATCACCAATACTGTACCTTCAGCACTGCATCTTCCGTTCACATGCAATTACTGTCGCTTCCGAATATCAAGGCTGGAACATGAAGGATCTTCCTTACTCACACACACACGCACCAAACAGCTGGCAGCTTTCGCTTGCCATGCGACACACAAAAATAATTAAAAAAATGTATAGGAACAGCCGATCTATAACATGCATGAATCCTATATGTAAAATAACTCAAAAGTCACTTACTTCTTCTCTTCCAAATTCTTTTTCCTTCCCGTTCTTCATCAGCAGTGAAGTCCAAGATTTTATTTTAGTCACAAGCATAGAGTCTTAGACGAACGCTTCCACATAGCGCAGAATGTTCTCAGCTCCTTCCAGCTTTTAGTTACAGTAGCTACGTCTGTCTCCCGAGTTCTGTTTTAGACACCCATTGAAATATTCCTCAGCACACAGCACCCGAGTCCGAGGCAGAACAAACACAAAAAAAGGTAAAAAAGGAATGTGGAGGGGGGCTAATTGCTTCCAGGAAATTCTTTAATGACATAATATCTGCTGGGCAAGCACCGATACGCATGTTTGGAAGGTCCTACTGATAAGGAGATGCACGCCACACGAATGTTCTCAACAGTTTCAGCGGTACAACAGGGCATTTGACTACGGTTTTGCTTCTCTGACCCAGACAAGAGTATTATCGTGTGGGGTGTGGGTTATTGATGGTATGACGTTGTAAAGCAGCCCATGTGAGAATTCAGTGACTCCTGAAGACAGGTGCACTCGCATGCATCTCAACACGTGGAACATAACCTTGAATACACCCCTTTTTCTTTTTGCATACAGCATTTTATGGGCAAAATTAGTTACCTCAAACCGATATACTGTACAGCACTATTGGAAAGGATTTCAATTAAAAAAAAATTAACCGCAAACAGTACAGTATGTGTTGGGGAGTTTCTGGGGTTCGGGTGCTGAACATGTGTTACTAACATTTTAAAGACAGTAAAATATTTTAAATGTTACACTTTCTATCCTTGAAAAAGCGTCTGTTACTATTTTTCAAACAGTAACTATAAATTTCATTTATTGACCCTGCGTAAAACGCAAACGCATGTGTGGTAATAGTTTTAGAGGTGGAAAATAACAATGTAATAGAAACCTTTAAGCAAACAATACATTGTAGGATTCTTATTTTAATATTTTACAGTATGGAATAAAGGAGGCGTACCTGGTCATTTAAATTTTATTTAATTGCATGACCAGGAACAATTTCACATGTAATCTGAGATATTAATGAATCTTCCTCAAATATACAGTGTACTGTATACTACAGCATGTAATGAAACATACAGTACATGGAAATTATATCCCATTGAAAATGTTCAGTATATATACTGTACATGCCTTTAAATATCACACATCCCCTTCCAATGAAGTCCCATTTTGTTGAATTACAAATTAAGTGTAGACATTTTTTAGTAAATGTTATAACCATATCTTGAATGCTCCAAGTGGACACTTTTGTGGGTGAAAGAAGCTACTGTAAATGTAAACAAACACAGCAAAGAAAAATCAATGACTTCTTGATAGTAAGGTATCACAGAATTTAATATAGTTTTTGTAACAATGTCATTTACTGTAGATAATTAGAAATTGAAAATCTAATGTAGTGGAGTCCTCACCTTATGGTTACAGATGCTGCAAGACAGTGGCAGATGGTAGTGTAAGACTTTATAGATAAAACTATTCAAATTTATAAACTAATGAAAATATTTTCTAACTGTAGATTGTCATTGCCTAAATGACCCTGGTACAGTACTGTACTGTATGTGTTGAGACAGCTCTGAGGAGAAAATGAGCAGTGATTCCCAACTTGTTTCTAGGGGGACCACTGTGATGCACTGAGCTCACCAAATATTTTCTGTAATCATTTAAGATGCTATTCTGCTGTCACTTTGAGTTCTTGCCAGTTCTCGGGATGTTCTGATTTCCCTTTTTTCTTCAGTATAAAAAATGCACACCTTATTGGATTTAAGTCTGAAGATTGAGCAGTCTAAGATTTTCCACTTCATTCTCCCGATGAACCCCTTGTTTGCTTTGCCTATACATATTGTGTTATTATCGTGCTGCATGGTGAATTGCCACCTAATACTGTATATACAGTACAACCAGTATGGAAGACAAAATGTTAATGTAAATATCCAAATTATTTCTGTAGAAAGCCATCAGCAGGGGGCTGTGCCAGACCAGGCTTCACAGATAAGGTTCTCTAAACTTTGATCTTCTATCAGTGTTGCAGACATTTGTCCACAAAACTTTTTTTCATGGGTCTCCTAACTTTTGTTTTTACTTCCAAGCAAATTCAGAAGCACGCTGGAGGCAATGTCATGACACTTTGGAAGTCAAACTATTAGATACTTGTCAAGTGATGAAATCACTGGGTTGGACTCAAAAGTATACATGAAATAACCCAGAACTAAAACACATGTTATACTTAACATTCAGATGAATCTTATGATTACAAATACAAATTGCCTAACTGTAGCACAAAAATAAGTTTGGACTTTGAACACGTAAAAAAAAAAACAAAGGGTAAGGAGTAGAAAATAACACAATGAGTTAAAATATTCTAAATAAGTCTTTAATTGAATTGTGCAAACTGACTCAGAGTTTCTCATCAAAATATTTTATGGAGTGCTTTCTCAACACCATCTAAAGATGCTTTACAACATGACAGAACAAAAACATTATAAACATATGAATACTGTAAACAGAACTAAATGGGTATAAAAGTAAGTGTCAAGGAATAATTTAATAGCTCTGACTAACTTGCAAACACTAATGTGGGCTGGGAGATCTTTAGACACTGCCTTAGAGTATGAAAACAGAAAGCACGGTCACCTGTGACTGAACCACCTTGGTCTAAGGCAGGGATTGGTCACAGACGCCATATACAACACAGGAAACCATAATGAGATACAAAATAATAATAATGTGCAAGTTCTCCAGTGCACAAAAATATTTACATGAGAGGTTCAATACCCTGAACTCCACCCTGGCTTTTTCTTGATGGACAGGCACTGCAAGAGTCTTTGTGAACCAGAGGTGAATCAGTGTCTATAACCTGACATAAGATGGTGGAACAGACAGGAGATGACAAACACAAACTAAGAATCACTGTGGATCCACAACAACAGGTAGTTCATAACAACTAATGCAAAAAAATACAACAAGGAAGCAAATACATTTAAAAAGATGCCCTGTTATTCAGATGTACTGTACACTGTACTCTAGGATGAAGAATGAACTGAGGTCCAGCAGGACAAGAATGGTTACAAAAACAGAGGCAGCAGTCATCTGTAAATCATTAGTAATCCTAACAAGAGCTGTTTCCGTATTATGCGTTGATATGAACCCAGACTGAAGTGGTTCATATACTGTATCTTATTTGCAATTAAATGATCTTTTGACTGAATGACAACAGCATGTTGTGGACCAGCTTGCCAAAAATAGTAAGTTAGATTTTGCCTGATAATTACTAAGCAGACTGGAGACTAAATTCTTCTTTTCTAACAGAGTAGTAATTACTGCAAATTTAAAGGCTAAGGAAACGATTTCAGATCCTAATGACTCATTGATGATTATATATATATGTGTGTGACTTTAGGACAGCAAATTGCAAAATTTAAACAGAACAAGACAAAGAGAATAGGATCCAAAGCATATGCGGGGGTTTTAATTTTAGTGATTTTTTTTAACGTTTTTTTCAAATTCTGCTAATAAAGACTGCATCAAACTTTAAAAACATGCATCGGAGTCACCTGAAAGTACATAAATTGTGTGCAGCAGTGGAATCACAACATATCATTAGAATTTCGATGTTTTTATTTTAGAGACAGTAGCTGGGTGAAACGGAAAACTGACTTTTAATCTCTACAGGTATTGGAGAGACATGAGCAGCACTAGCACAAACTGCATCTCTAGATTTTGCTTTACTTATTGGCTAACAAAACATCCCAGTCCAAAAAAAAGGATTGTGATATCTTTTTAGCACCAGTCATAGGTAAACAGTATTTGATTCTTAGCATTTCTACATATTTCAAGATGTTTTAATGATACTCCAAATATACTAAGATTAGGCCAGAATCAAACAGTGTACCAGAGTTTTTTACTAGAGCATTTTGAGTAAATGCAGGATTATTAAGTGACTAACCTAAAATAGGAAAACATCTGATGCATTCATGTTTATATATCGTGGTATCATGATATAAATTAGAACACTGCTGTTTGACTATTGAAGATAGAAATTAGGTAGATTTCAATGTGATCAGTATAGAAATGATATTCAGAGCCATGTTCCTGAAATATACAGGATGACTGAAGGGTACCATGAATTACAAACAACAGTGGTCCTAATTTAGACCCCTGTGGCACACCAGTACTAACAGCTGTGGTGCTAAATTGCAAAAGAAATGATACAAACTATGTTCTATTACTTTAGAAAAAGCCTCAAACCACCAATGAAGCTTTGCTAATGCTCATCAAAATCTTTGAGGCACTTAAGTTGGATGTTACTGTATGATAAATAATGGCTAATAATAATGGTTACTGTGATGATTTTTCACATAATTCCCAAAAATAAATATAATGATTATATTTTTTCAAAAATCGGTAACAGAGAAAGTTACACCAGTTTAGCTAGTGGGTTAGAGAAGTTTTTCAGCTTTTATTTTGTTCAATGTGTAGTGGCTTGTTCATCCAGTTCAAATTAATGGCCTTTTTCTTGTCCAAACAAAGTGGGAAGTCTGACAAAGCTTTTCTCCTTGTGCTCTTTCTTTCTCTCCTCACTTGTGCTTTATCTTTTCTACTGTCTTGTGACAAAGATAATAGCTTAGTTTCTAAGATGTCTCCTTATACTCCCTAAGAAAAAAAGAACTCTCAGAGGAAGAGCAGATAGAATCCTGCGCAAAATGTCCTTGTCTCACCAGTCTTACCTGTACGTGGAAGTTTTGGGAAGTACTATAATTATGGATTCATTCTTTTTGGATGGTGTTGGCACCCCCTTGTGGGTTTCGACAAGGTTTCTGGCTTTTCTTTAAAAGCCAAAAGTAGGTATACACTCAAAATCAAAATGCAAGGAGAAAATGAAGTATTGTTAGTTTACATTACATTCATCTTTCAGATCGCAAATATTATCGTGATATTTTGTCTAATGTAGTAATTTAGATTAATTTAGTAACTAGTGATTTAGAAAACAGATTAAAAGTATACAAAAATTGACATTCACATTGAAGATTTTTTTACTGTAGTATACTGTGGTAAACACATTTTTTCCAAGTGTAAAAAGAGAAAAAAAATCCTTTGGGAGGATGGTTTTCAGGCTTGCAGAGTTGTTTTTATACACCGCGCAGCACATTGTTGGCATCACTTCTTTTTTTATCTTGGTACTGTTATTAGTGCAAATTGAACACAGCAGTTCCAGCAGCTTCGCATTCCTAAAGCATACTGTATGTTCTGTAGGCCTTTCTACCTGGAAATGCTGCCAAATAAAAATCATATTATAGTTCTGAATACAAATATTTTTAATGTGATGTTAAATCAAAGGAGCAGACATACAGTCCTAAAGCTTTAGCTGAGAAAATGCAACATGTTTCCTTTTCCAATCA